CAGGTTCATTTTGCGCCAGAATTGTCCTTTAAGAGGGCTAAAGTACTGCACACACAGTGGAAGTGTTGGGCCCCTCCTGCTGAGCAAAAAGACTTCCAGCTGTGTGTGCAAGGCTTGAGCAGATTATTCCCAAGTTAATGTCAAGGAAAGCAGAGTTTATTCAAGATTTGTGAGTGCAGCTTCCATCAGCTACCCGACATCAGCTATTAGACTGAAACCAACGTCCCTCCCCAAGTTTACTGGCATCAGACGGGACTTTCATTACTGGAAAAGAGACTGGGAGGCCCTTCAGAGGCAAGGAGAACCCACTGGGTCAAAAGAAGTCAAGTTCCAGCTTCTTGACAGTTTGGATGAAAAAATAATGAGAGATCTTCAATTGATGACTTACAACGCAGCAGACGACATCTTTCGGGTCCTGGAGAACCGGTTTGGAAACCAAACTGCAATTGCTATTTAAATAGTGGAGGAGCTCCAGAGACTTCCAGCTGTCAAAGGTCACCAGCCCAGGAAAAATTGTTGAGCTTATCCAAGCTGTTGAGACCTGAGTGACCTTGGTGACATCGGCGCCTTAAAGAACCCTCTGGTGACGAAGTCAATTGAAAGCAACCTTCCTGATGCACTGAAGAAAGAGTGGCTTCCCTATGCAGCTGAGAAAAGCAGTGCTGAACCAGAGAAGCGCTTTGACAGTCTTCTGGCCTTCAAGAAAGTATCTATGAATAGCTGGACCAATTAAAGGGTGAAGAGCCGCCAAGGAAGGAAATGCGACCTGAGCAAAGGCAAGCCAGAACTAGAGCCTCAAACCAGTCAAGTAGCCATCTTTCAGGGTGTGTCGTCTGTGGGGACATCAAGCATAGGAAAAGGTTGTACTTCTGCAAAAAGTTCAGTTTGCTCAAGCTCACAGAGAAGAAGGATGCAGTGCGAAAACTGGGAGCCTGTTGAAGATGTCTGGATGTCCATGATGATGATCTCTGCAAAACTTCATTCCTGTGCACAAATCCAGAGTGTGAGGACAAGAGAGCCACAGACCACTATTACTATCTGTGTCCCAATGCTGAAGCATCCAGAGGAAGAGCAAAGGCAGCACAGTGGGAGGTGGCAACAAGAGGAATTACACACAGGCACAGGAAGAATTCTTCAGAAAGCTCTCACCTGAATTAGCCCAACAATGCTGGGGACACATTCTGCAACACAGTGTCGAGGACTTCCCATGTCGCAAAGTGTCACTCAAGTCTTCTAGCAGAGAGCAGCCTAGCGGAGTGGCCTGTCATCATGATGCTTTGAGGTAACAGTCAATGCTGGGCAGAAAATTGGGACCCTGATCGACCTAGGTTCTGACACCAATTATATCACCCATGAGGCAGCAGGACGGCTCAATCTCAGAAATGAAGACATCACGCTTGTGGTCCATGGTGTAGGAGGCCTGAAAATCTGAAGATCCGTATCAGCACCTCAAGGCACTTTCAAGTCACACCAGCTGGTTTGCTACGGCCTAGACAGCATCGCAGACATCCACGGACATGTGTCGGCCAAAAAACAAAAAAAGAGTTCTACCCAGGCATCCTGCTCAGTGACCTGGTAAGGCCAAGAGAGATCCATCTCCTTGTAAGTCACAAGGAGGGTCGGCTGGCTCCGCAGAAAATCTGCACAGTGGGGGACCTCATACTGTGGGACGGACCAATGGGAAAGACAGTTGCTGGCACCCATCCTGAGCTGTTTGAAAAGGTAACTGTATCAGCCCACACATCGAGAACGCACTTTGCGAGGTCTATGAGAACTGCTGCTGTAAAATATGAAGAACCCACCTGCGTAGTCCCCATTAATTCTCCACAAAGCCAGCAAGCCCCAATTGCCTCAGCAATCCAGTTCTGCAGCTACTACATCCAACTTCCTCGAGTGGTGGAAATGGGACAGCATTGGTGCTGGCTGCATCCCAAGATGTGGGGGCTGTCGCTGTGGAAACTGTCAGCCAGGCGGGAAAGAAATTACCCTTGCTAAAGAAAGGGAGCTGGAGATGGTAAAGAGTGCCCTCACATATGTAGCTGCTGATGACCACAGTGAGAGGCCTCCTGGTACCCCTGGGTAGAAGATCCAGCCACATTACCAAGCAACAGGAGTGCAGTTGAGGCCACATTCCTGAGGACTGAGAGGCAGCCAGAGTGGAAGGCCGCCTATGCTGCTCACATTCACGAGATGGTCGACCGGCTGGCCACGGTAAAGTTGTCTAAAGACATCCTTCATACAAGGACTGGTCCAGTGTGGTACATCAGCCACCTCATCGCACTCAACCCACACTCCGTCACAACTCCGGTGAGACTCGTCTGGAACAGTAGTCAAAAGTTCAGAGGGGTGAGTCTCAATGATCTCCTGCTAAAAGGCCCAGGCGTCCTCAACTCAATCCGTGCTGTTCTTCTCAAATTCCAGGGGAGTTTGTGCTGCTTTGGGAGACATAAGGAAAATGTACAATTCAGTGTGGCTCGAAGACCAAGAGGTGCATTTGCATAGGTTCCTGTGGCGTGACTCTGAAGAGGAGGAGCTGGGTGAATATGCAGTCATGAGAGTTAACATTGGAGACAAGCCAGCGGGTTGTGTTGCTCAACTAGCCATGAGAGAGACGGTTAATCTCCCTCAGTTCAGCCATCTTGAGAAAGAGCGACGTGTGCTACAAGAAGACAGTTATGTTGATGACCTCTTGACCTCTCATGACAACTAGGACCAGCTTAAAGTCATCATGGAAAATGTGAAGCGGATCCTGAAAGCAGGAGGGTTCGAGTTGAAGCCATGGGTCTTCTCTGGTCAAAGTGGGAGGGAGTCTGTTTGGGAAACGGGAAAAGGTGGCTACTCCAAAGACTGTGATCCTGCCGAATCAGCTCAAAGAGGAGGACAACAAGGCTCTTGGCCTTGGCTACACCCTCGAAGATGACAAGCTTCATGTCATGGTTGGGATAAACTTCTCAAAGAGGAAGAGAAAAATGAGACTCGACCAAGACCTTCAACTAGAGCAGGTGAGAGACACATCCCCACTGTTGTGACAAGAGTTACTCAGCCAAGTTTCTGGATTGTATGACCCGATTGGTCTGACTTTCATTTACGTAACATTACAAAAATCAGACACATCCTATCACAGACAGATGCAGAAAAACTAATCCATGCATTTGTTACTTCTAGGCTGGATTACTGCAACTCTTTATTATCAGGTTGCCCTA